GATATATCTAGAAAAAAGACTGAATGGGAATCTGCAGAAATGCTAATAAGTGGCTGAACTGAAGTAGTGGGATTGGGAATGAACTTGTCTCTTTTCCTTAACTTCCAGATCACCTATAAGGTTACTGGGTTATTTTTACAAACAAAGAAAATTACTGGCAAAGAGCAGTTTTTTACATGGATCTGGCCAGAGAAATGACAGGGAATGGCTTACAGGCCCCTGATGGCTGAACATGGACTATTCTCACTTACTTATCTGGAACTCCAAATAACCAGCCTACAGCCAGTCAAGACTCAGGTGACTGCAGGGTGTTCTGTGTGTCACCTTTAGGGGACAAGGTGTGCACTGAGAGAGCTCGGTCTCTGCAGCTGGCCAGGACTGGGCACGTCTCTGATCTACAATGAGCACAAGCTCTGTCACCATTAGGACTCAGAAGACAGCCCTACCCTTCCTGGTTATTGTGAAGATTTATAAAAAGGTGGAGACTGCTCGTAACTGTCTCCCTCCCAACTCTCACGGCAGAATGAAATTTCTCAAATGAAAGAGAGGCACCTGGGGACCAGTAGGTCATTCCCTTCCTTTGGCCTCTGCTTGCTGTGTGTGGTCCTGAGGGGCGGGCAGTACTGAGCACAGTGTTGCCTTTTACAGCTTGCTAGCGACTCTAAGCCTCATGCTGAATGGGAAATCGCCCTATATCTAGCAAGCCAGAGGGAAGATAAGCTGGGGCCTGGGAGCCATGCACACTCCTGCTGAAAAAAGCAAAGCCCACCCTTAACAGGGTGAGAAGCTATGACCTCAGTGTGCCTACTGCAGCCGCCATCATCCTCATAGTCATAATTAGGTTCTTAACAAAAAGGGCTGGACGCTGCAGAAGAAAGGACCAGGTCTGTCATTGGAGAGAAGATCTCTCCATTTTCCAGCCCCCAGACCTTGGGCAAGTTATGGAAAGCCTCTCTCCAAGCCTCAGTTTTCCCATCTGTTCAATGGGAAAGTCACTACCCACCCTTCACGATCTTCAGGGATGTTCAGTAAATGTTACTTCCCTTTTCTTCCCCAGATGGAAACACTCAGCCACCAAAGAACACTGCCTCCTGGGCTGGAAGAGGACTGAACAGCTCTGGTTCCCGACCCCAGGGAAGCAGAGAGGAAGGTAGCGTGCAGGACAAGACACCTCAGGACACGGAGCTCTTTGGGCAAAGCTAGGCGAACACTGGACCCCCTTGGACAGCACAGCACAACTGAGAGATTGAACCTGAGCAGCACTGGGAGTCCTGGCCCTGCTGCTTTCTAACCGGGTGACCTGCAAACCTGGTTCATTCACTTTCTGAGCCTGAGTTCCCATTCTGTGGAAGGGATGCCTAAGAGGGCCTAGAACACATCAGGAGCTCCACTGTACTTGCTGTCAACTGGCCTCTGACCCACAGCCCATTCCGTCCGATCCCTCAAAATCCAAACACTTACCCTAGGGGATCCTTGGGGCATACCATCAGTCCTGCTGTGAATAATAATGTAAGTAGCTAATACTTCTTGAGAAGTCATCACTGAATATTAATGAACTAATGTTAACTGAAAAACAGAGGAAAATGTTATCCCCAGAAGACTTCCTAAATGATTCTTCCAATCGCTATCAAATTTTTGAGGGGATAGGACACCTACTTTTCACTGGGGAAGAAAATTTAACATGGGAAGCATTTTGCTTTGGGAAAATGCAAGTCAACAAAATTTAGCAGTGGGATTCCCTTTAGGGCATCCTTTAAAATCCTAAGAAGCTCACACCTGGTAGGCTTTTGAAGATGTTTGAGGAATGAACAGATGCAAGAATGGACATGAGTTGGAAAGCAAAAAAATGGACTTCAATGGAGGCAGTGGCCAGAGCTGCCGGCAGTGCTACCGGGCCTCGATGAATTCCAGATGCCAGCTGCTATAGGAGGCCGTGGAGACCGACTTATTCTTAATCAGCTCCGTCTTGTGGTCCACACAGTTAATTATTTAATGTGCTTTCTGGAAGTGAGAGTTGGGGCAAGAAGTCAGGAGGACCGAATCCTGCCCTCCACCTCAAAGATCCTGTGTCTCTTTCTGCGGCCCAAATCCTCCAAGTTTCTGATGCACTTTGATATTCCTAGCAGAGACAAAGATCGTGATTCAAGAGAATCCAGGCCAGATTAAAGGGCCAGGCACTGAGTCCGTGTGCCCAGCACTGAACCACCCGCAACAAAGCCCCATTAGGATGCGGCTCCTGCCCGCCGGCTTGTCTTCTCCTGTCTCCCAACACAATGCTGACAGACTGGGGGGGGCTGGTTCTTCCCCCCAAAACAACATTTTATGAGGAGTCTGTTTTATTAAAATATTTTCCGCTGGATGCTTCCTGTGTTTCAAGAAGTTGGTCTTGCCAGCTGGAGCTGATGACAGTTGAGAAAAACACATCCAAGTGCTGTTGTGACATGGCATTTGGAAGTGGAGCACAACGGGGGGTGGGGGCAGGGAGAAGGCAGCATGGGAGGAGACGCAGGGAAACACCCGGGTTACACCAGAAATGTCACTGGCATTATAGGAATACAGCCCTGCCCTCCCTCCCTGCATAAAAAGAAAGTGAACTGAAACCCTTGGAATGATGTTCTAAAATACACTTCCCTATCTCCTGGGGGACCAAGGTCACTGCTATGTGTGATCACAGAGAACCTGTCATTTGTTTTCTATAACTGCCAGTTTGCCAGCCCACTAAACTAGCCACCCCTGCCCCCACCGGTTCATTTCAACCTCCAATGTTTCCCCAAAATAAATCTAGAACAAGGCATACTGCAATGCTGCTGCTAAGTTGCTTCAGTCATGTCTGACTCTATGCGACCCCATAGATGGCAGCCTACCAGGCTCCGCCGTCCCTGGGATTCTCCAGGCAAGAACACTGGAGTGGGTTGCCATTTCCTTCTCCAATGCAGGAAAGTGAAAAGTGAAAGTGAAGTCGCTCAGTCGTGTCCGACTCTGTGCGACCCCATAGACGGCAGCCTACCAGGCTCCGCCGTCCCTGGGATTCTCCAGGCAAGAACACTGGAGTGGGTTGCCATTTCCTTCTCCAATGCAGGAAAGTGAAAAGTGAAAGTGAAGTCCCTCAGTCGTGTCCGACTCTTCGCGACCCCATGGACTGCAGCCCACCAGGCTCCTCCGTCCATGGGGTTTTCCAGGCAAGAGTACTGGAGTGGGGTGCGATTGCCTTCTCCAGCATACTGCAATAAAACAAAACACCCACAAAGTGGTACCGACCTAGTTCTGGTCATCACCAGAATGATGGGGGTACCAGACACTAGCTCTTTGCATATACTGATGAAGCAATCTCCTATCACTGGGCTGGAAAAGCAACAGCATAAATACATGTGGTGGGGAGGTCCGAGCTCTAATCGGGAACTTGGCCACAAATGGGTAATGCTTTTCGGTAGACTGCAAGTGTCAGTGTGGAGTGTTTCTGGTACAATGCAAGGATATTCTGGATTTGCATTTCAATATCTCCAGGCCCATGACCCTCTATCCAGTACATAAAATATCACATACTGGATAATAAAATATTTAGTCCAGTTTTAAAGAGATGACTCTAAAGAAAAGTGACGCATTTCCTCCCCCTAAAGAGAAATCTTTGGGCTCTGAGGCACTCTGAAGCCAAGCTGCGTTTTCTCCACAAGGGGGCAATCATAATCCATGGCAGGGAAACAATCTGCATTCCCATTGTGCACAGCCCAAGTTAAACCTATACCCGACTTCTGGAGTCCTCTCTTCCAAATTCTCCATCACCACGCATCTCCCAAGACACACAGACACACAGGTTTGAGGGCCGTCTAGGTAGGCTGGTTCTGTAACCACACCACAGTCTCCAGTGATACTGAACTATACACCAGAGAATTCTGAAGAACTGACGTGGGATGGCAGGCAGGCTAGGCCCCAGCCCGGTGTCTGGGAATTACTGCTTCCTTTTGGCTCCTATTCTCACTAGGACCTGCCATCTCCCTCAACTTCCTTCTCTGAGAACTTTTCTGAAAACAGGGTAGCCATGAGGAGCACTGCCCTCTTCATCCAAGGGATGTCAGGGTCCCAGGGGCAATGATTTTGGTTCTTCCAACAACCCGAGGTGAATTCATGTACTTTTCAGGGCATCACGGGAAGCTGCTGAGTTGTTCGGGCAGAGACCAGGGGCTGTGCACCTTGGGGACCAAGGGCAGACAGCATCCTCTGATGGAAGCAGTGCTACCTTCTCCAGACAGCTCTGAAGCCGGGGCCGTGCACAGCACTAAGCCTCTCACATTCACACCGCTCACCTCTGGCCCTGGTGTTCCCCCCATCTACCCAACGTCTGCCCAGAGAATGACTCTAAACTAGGTCCTCTGCTTGCTAGGGTACATGAAACCCAGCGCCTGTCCTGAGGAGCTCTGGGCCCAAGGAGAGCTAGAAAAGCAGATTCATAATAAGCTAAACACTACAACACAGGTGAGCAGAGGTGCTGATGTGGAGGGGCAGTAGATGAGGATAGCCCTGGGTGTACCTCCCTCGAGCAGGCCAGGCCTAGGAAGGTGGTGTGTGTATGAGTCGCTCAGTTGTGTCCGACTCTTTGCAGTCCTAAGGACTGTAGCCCACCAGATTCCATGGGTCTTGGCCCTCGTTAAATTGGTAGCCTCCTCAACCGGGTTCCTAACTCTCTTCTGCTGACCCTCTATTTTTAGCGTAAGAAAAAGCCAAGAACCACTTTCTGAGCTTGTCTGAGTACCCCGTGGGTGTCACCACTCAAAACCCAGCCCAGTGCCCGGCTTCCTGGCCTCTGGGGCCTCCCGCTGGTGCGACAACTGCCAGCGGAACCGACACTGAAGATCAAGCCCTGCTCCCCGACTGACCTCTTTGTGAAACACCCGCTCAGGGCTCCGGGGAAGCCCTTCAAAGGCCAGGGCTGCTGTGTGGGCTCCACAAAGCACTGGCCCCCTGGGCTCCTGCGGACCGAGGGGAGGGGAGGACGGGGTACTCACTGGTCGGGGCTGGAGACGGACGTCCTTCGGGCTTCCACTGTGATGTTGCTCTTCGGTCTTTTAATGACGTGTGGACGGGGAGGGCGCACCTAGAATGGGCATGGGGAAAATCCCCAAGAAGGGCTGAGTTGGAAAAGCCATTCAAGGACATTTTCAAGATGCAGGTAAGCAGCCCTAAAAGGAACACTGAGGGATTTTCAGAGCATAGACTCCAAGGCTGTGCTTATGATGGAGACTGTTGAAGTGGTGGCTGACCTGTGAACTGGAATCTGTGGCCTACTCAAAGGAGAAAGGCTCTTCTGAAGGGCTGGGTGTCCTGATTTGCACCCAGCGGGTGGTTCCACCTGCTTCCTCGCGGGGCTGCCCTGAGGGCTCAGTGAGACACTGTCTGGGCATGACCTGGAACAAAGAGGCCCTAATGCTAAGTCCCGCTTGCCTTCTCCTGGAACCTGGAAACCGGTTTGGGAGAACAAGGAGGTTTCACTCAGACTTTGTGTTTAGGGCACACGTGCCTGTTTTGTTCTTTTTTACAGCTGAATTACAGGATGCTCATTTTCCTCTCTAAGTGGGAGGGTGGAGAAGCAAATACTAACAGTATTAGGGCACCAATTAAAGTCCTCCTTCTGCTCCCCCAGGCAGCCCTGTGCAGGGCTTGGTCTGGACCCTCATACAGTCCGTGTGGCCGCTGCACTCACCACACAGACCAGCTCAAGGGCCGGAGCTGGGTGTACTGACAGTGAAGTGCAAGCCTCCTGGTCCACAGCCAGACTGCAGCGACACGGTGGTTTTTTCCCTATATACAGCCTCTGAAGGCTAAGATGAGGGATCGTATAAAAAGACACTCCCTTCTCCTACTACAGCTGGTGATGAGAGTTAGGCTCAGAATTTCTAGGTGTCCTTGAAGAATACTCATTTGGGCCAGTCAACACTAGCTGGCTTTAAATTTGGCACCACCATCTCCGTACAACGCCAGAGGAGGACTGGAGAGGGCTTATCTGTGAATTTTGTTGCCAGTAAGAAGGACCGAGCAGCCCAGTGTGGGGGCTGCCCTGCTCTGCAGACGAGGGACCAATGCAGGCAACGCCACGGTTGCTGAGGTCAGTGGACAAGACAGAGAAGGAGAGCACAGGCATGCTCCAAACGCTGCGCCCTCTTCCGGAACCTCCCCCAGCCCCCAACCCCGCACTGCTGGGCGACACAACACAATGGCCTCAGAATACAGGTTACAGAAGTTGGCTGCATAAGAGACAAGTCTTTATTGAGTTTCATCAGGCCCTCAGGCCTCCTCACATCTGATTTAACCAGAGTTTTTCCTGTGGAACAGCCAGTCTGATGTCAGCCTGGTTTGGCAAATCAGAGATGTTGTAAAAGCCAAGTGCATTCCACCGAACTTGCTGTCTGCTATGGGGTTACTGTGACGATCCAATGAGCTCATGGAGGCAAAGCACTGGCATGGGGCCTGGCACACAGTGGGGGCTCAATACAAGCTCATTGTGTTTCCCTGTGACCTTATCAATAACAGAAGGAAGACAGGGGTGTCTCTCTATTAGAAGATGGATTTAGGATGGTCTCACTCTTGCCTAGCACTCCGCTCCATGCCTGGTTTAGTGACCCCCTCAGCCGGATTTTTTTGAAATGAATGTTGCTGCTTGGAATCTAAGAAGTGCATAACAATGTTGCTATTATTATCACTGCTATTAGAACAGTGCCTTCCATGGAGTAGACATCCAGTCACTGGTTGCTGAGTACAAGTGTGGATCCATCCCCCACTAGTGCTAACCCTGAACTGGTTTCCGGCCCAGAGCCTGACTCCTCCGGCAGCCAGTAAGCAGGATCACCTGGTTTGCACCTGACTTTGCACCACAAAGAGGGCATGCAGTTGGGGCGACTGCTGCCTTGCCCGGGGTCCTGGGGTGGGGGCTTCAGGAAGGTCAGACAGTAAGGCCCGTTCGCCTGTCCCTGCCCGCAGCTGCTCCTCGTACAATAGAGGTGGGTTAGGAATGTGAACTTGTGGCTGAAATGGGGGGATTAAGTTTGTGGCAACTTCAACTGAACTTGCAACGTGGTGAAACATGGGGAAAAAGAACAACAGAGCTAATTAGACGAGCTGAGCTGTCAGAGTGCCGCTGAATGGCTCAGCGCCAACAAACAAAAGGAATGGGTTGGCAATCAGCAGGATCGATGGAGAAGACTGCTTCATTAGGGATGATAAACCAGACAGAGCGGGAGAGGGAAGGGTGGGAGGGGGAGGGCTGGAGCGAAGGCGGGGGAGGGAGAGAAAGGCTCGGCAGACCCAGAGACAGTCACCCGCACGGCTGTAGACACACCCAGAGTCACACACACGGCTGAGTGGTGTGGACAAAGCAGACGCAAAATTATACTCATGGACAGACAACCACCCAGAGACATGCACGGAGGCATGGAGATGCCAACAGACCCACAGTCTCACAAATACTCGCAGAGGCATGCACAGGAGGAGAAGGCCCATGCATGGCTCTCTCTCTCTCTCTCTCTCTCTCACACACACACACACGGCCACAGACGTACAGCTAGAGCCACACCAGGCACAGACACACACAGACAAAATGATTTAATTAAGCCCGAATCACAAGACGATGCAGACAACTGGCCCGTCATATTTCAGTGATCAGATCCGTCTTTCCAGGGTGCTTAGGAGGGGTGGGGGCTGGGATTAGGGAAGAAACCACGCGCACACACAACGCGACTGGCGCACCAGCACTCCGATCCCAGCCGCGCTGGGGAGAAAATGCTAAACAGGGATTTGGAGCTCTGTTCAAGGGGGACTTGAGGGGAAAGTTGGGAAACCAGCCAATTCCCCACTGGATTTAAAACCTGAGAAATCCAAGTCGGCAGGGTTAAATGTGTATTGAATACAAAAGCACCGAGTACATTTGATTTTAATGGTGAGCAAGAAATAATAAATACAGAGCTTATAAAGCGCTTCACATGCGGCCGACCACAGCCTGCCTCTTCCCTGCATGCCCCAGCCCACTCCCCTGAGTCCACAGACACTGGCAAGGCTTTCTTCTGCTCTTTCCTTTCTCTTCCCTTTACAAAGAAAATCTAAATCCTCTGGTCACATCTGAACTCCAGCGACAGGTGCCAGGCTACAAAGCTCCTTCCAGAAAGGCTGAATGCTGGCCCCCACGCTCCCACTGGCCTGGGCTGATGGCCACACTTCTGCTGAGAATGCCTGCGGCTAAGTGACCCAGCAAAGCCCGGCGAGGGGCCAGTGGCTCCTGACATGGGAGCTTGTCAGGCCATCGTCTCTGAGGCCCTCGGAGCTATGGGACCTATACTCCACATCTCCCAGGCTCACCCCTAGTGTGCAGGAGTGCCCACTGGAAATGCTTGCGTGAGGGCACTCAGAATGAACAGACCTGGGGCACCAGGGAACACAAGGCCCAGGAAGCACAGAACTTCTAGGGCTCCCAAATCAGCCCCAAGGTGACCCTGCTTTGAATGAAGGTACTGGGGTGGGCAGAATTTGGCTATGTGTGTCCACCTCTTGCCAGGGACTGTGCTAGGTACTACAAATATATGACCTTATAACCCCACCAGGGAGGTAGAGCAACCCATTTTATAGATGATGAAACCAAGGCTCAGAGAAGGTATGCATATGGCCCTACGTCACACAGCGAAGCAGTGTCCAAACTGTGAGTCAAACTAAGACAGGCCTCTCTGACTTCCAGGCCCAGGAGGATCAGTTCTGTTCAGCCACCTGCCTCTTCAGTGTCTCATAACCCAAGGGGACGCAGCCCCGAGTGCCAGGCCAGTCACCTCCCACACTAGGGCAGTGGCAGAAGCAGCTGCTCCTCAGTGCTCAGGGCAGTATCTGCCTTCCCAAGTCCTCCGTCACCAGTGGATGTGGCTGAATTCCAGCCCCCGGCCCGCCCTCCCCACTGCCCCCAGCTGTCTGGGTCCTCACACTGGCGACACAACGTGAAGCCAACAGTAGCTATCTTCAGCTTCTGAGTTCTTCCAAGGGGAGCAATCCTGCCCCAGATCCTACTAAGAAATTCCCTGCCATCTTGGATCCTAGGTCTCCCCAGGCACTTCTTAGAGCTAGCCACTGGATGACTCTGGCTTGGGAGAGGCTGCATGGTGAGGAGTGAGGAGAGGCAGGGCAGAGAGGCAGGCCTGCGCTCAAAGGCCAGCATGGCCTCTGATTATCTCTGTGGTTTCAGCTGCCAACTGGTGACATTGCATCTGCCTCCTCTGGGTTGTTTTTAAGGACAGAGGAGCACAGTCCGAGGCACATAAAAGGTGCTCACTAAATGTCAGTTCTCCTCACCCCTGCATCCGTGCCAGGGCCTAACACTGCCGTAGCGATTCCATAGGAAACACATCCTACCACTGATTAAATTTTTCTCACCTGAAGGCTCTCCCCCCATCCTTTGTATTAAGATGGACTTGGTGGAGATGGAGGGTCCAGGTAACTTGGTATGCATGAAAGACCACAGGTTCTAGAGTCTGGTGACCCCTTTGTGTAGTTGAGGGACTTGGGTTAAGTTACTGGGCATCAGTTTTCTCATTTAAAACGGGTGGAGGAGATGCCTACTTCATAGAGATTCTGTGAGGCTCATCTGGGATGATATGACTAAGAATGATTCGCTGACTATGAAAATCCTAGGTGAATGATTAAGAAACTGGGTCATTCCTTAGAAGTTGTAAGATTGACAAATCTATTAAGAATAAGAACTGCTACTGTGTCCCAGGCCCTGTGCGAGGAGCCTTACAAATGAGGTCTATACTCATGCTCACAAAAAACCTCCATGAACAAGGGTGTATTAGAGAGAGAGAAGCAAGGCTCAGAGAGCTTCAGGACTTGCCCAGAGTCACACAACCCTGGTATCAAGCCTGGCTCTGTCTACTCCCCAGATCCACGTTACTAATGACTATATAGAAATTCCCACTAAATCACACAACTCTTGACCCAGACATTGGCTTCCTGTCCCCCAGAGCAGTTTCTCTTTGCTGTTTGTGCCTTCCATCCAATGACAGTAAGCAGAAACATTTCAGCCCCTCGAGAGCTGTGCTGACCATGGTTTGGGGTACAGGATAGCTCCGTCACGTGTGGTTGGAACTTCAGTGTCATGGCTGCCTCCACCCCAGCCCTGCAGCTCCTGTACATGGGAGGGAAGGGAAGGGAAGGAAGGCAGTGCCACAGAATGTTCCAACATCCACGCAGAGAGGGCCACCCATCCAACATTAGGTACATGCGACAAGGACTCAAAACTGACACAGTTTGAGAGCACTCCTAACCATTTCTGGTTTGCTGCCATCTGATTCAAATAGATCTTCACTCAAATAAACACTTAAAAAAAAAAAAAGTCAGACACAGCTCAGCCTAGTCACCTGCACCCCTCAGCTGCCACACTTTTCAAGATGGATGTGGACACCGCAGTGGGGAGGGCAGGAGGGGCTGGGACTCGGGTTTGTGGGGAACCATGATGGCTGCTGGGCTGGAACCAGCCCTCTTTTGCTTGACTGCAAGAGTGGTGGCTGCTTTGAACAGCCACCTTGGTCAACAGCCCTCACTCAATAGTCCCAGCCAGTTTCCTTCCCACTTTAAAGGAAGCTGCTAGTTATCAGGCCTCAGCATGACTGAAGTCTTAGTTCACAAGAAAAAGGACTTCACTGATGCTGAACCCCAGATCCGCACCCAGTGTTTTCCCAAGGCATTCTTCTTGAGAAGTCATGGATGGGTCCCCCTCCCTCACCCGCCCATTCCTAGTTGTTGGTGGGTTTATCACATCTCGTCCTGCTTTTCTGCCCTTCCTCGGAGCTTTGCTTGGGAAGGTAGAGCCCCATGTGCGGCCCAGGAGAGGAGGAGACTGGTCTCCATCTGAGCCGGCTCAATATTCTCTGGGCGTAGCGATTGCCCCTGGGAAGGGACATCAAATGCATTTCCAAACCAAGATCTGGCGCAACGAGACCCCTGCTGCCAGACTTCTGTTTCCTTTGTGAGGAAGAGGCGGCTGCAGCCTTTAAAGCTCACTGGCTAGCAACGTGGCTCAACCTAGGAGACGCGCTCAAACCAGGCACACACGGCAAATACAGCACACAGCAGCCCCGCTACCTACAGCTCCGACCTGCAAGTTGCCAAACTGATTCAGAAGAGAGACAGAAGCTCAGGAAATGCAAGTTCGGGTACATGCCACACAGAGGGAAGCTGAAAAACCCACTTCCTGGCTTTCCTTGGCAAGGCAGCTGAGTTCAGACCCCCGAGGTTTAGTCAGGCGGGGAGACGGCTCAGGCAGTGTTAGGTGAGAGGGCAGAACCACTGGCTACTCACGGGCCTCGAGCGCTGTATCTTGGGAGGCGGCGGGCGAGTGGGACGGAGTCTCGGTGGCTGCATTAAAGTGGAAACTTAAGGAATCAGTGCATACAGAGGTGGTTCGATGCATTTCCACACACAGCTCTGGGCATCCAGCCACCCAAGCCGGAGCCCGAGGGCCATCCTTGACGCCTCCCGCTCCCATGGCTGGCTGCCGGCTCTTGCACACCCCATGTCTGAGGCCCTCTCCTCCACCTCCGGCCTGGATCACTGTAACCAGCAGGGCCCCCGCCTGGAGCTCCTCAGCCATTCTCCACACTGGCCAAGAGGAGTCTTCTAAAATGCAGTGTGACCCTGCCACACCCCAGCTTTGAGACCTCTGCTGTCCCCTCCTGTCCTGGGGTGAGAGTCCACCAGGGCCCTGGGCTGGCATTCTAAATCCTCTAAGACCTGGCCTCTGCCGTGCCCTACCCAGACCCCTCCCAACCTTCCCCTGTGCTCATTCGAAGACCCTCGCATGGCCCAAGGCTTTCAGGCCTGCTTCATGCCTGCCCAGCAGGTGGAACGACCCACCCCACCCTGAGCTGCCTGGCAAACCTCTGCTTGTCCTTTGGGACTCTGCCAAGGGTGGGTGCTGCCCTCCAGTGCTCCCACTCATCACCCACTATCGCCCCATGTCTGCCCCACTGCCCTCCTACTCCTTCAAATGTTCATTTCCTTGAGGGAGTCATCCCTGTACCTTGGGAAAATGTATCTTCTCAATAAATGTCTGATGAATAAATATAATTTGCACAAAATGCTTGGCTTTTGAATAAAAATCAGTGGCACACAGATCTCTTAGCTCACCCCTTGAACCCTCTGTGTTGAAAGTCAAGCTTTGTTCTCTCAACAGCCTGCCCAGATATCTAGATGCCCTGGACAGTGGGGCAGATGAACACAGTGTAAGGAGAGTAAAGTCCACACTATGGACGCTTGGCAAGCCCTGGGAGGCTTCTGATTGGTTCTTCCTATCAGCCTCGTGGTTCACAGAGGTCCATCATTATGCCGTAAAGTCCAGACCTGCACTTCCCACAACAGGAGCCAATGGCCACACAGGGTGAGTCCAAATTAAGATGTGCTATTAAGTGTAAAATGCACATTGGATTTTGGAGACTTAGTTTGAAAAAGAATGCAAGATATCTCAATAATTTTTTATATTGATTATATGTTGAAATGAAAATATTTTGGGTATTTTGGTTAAATATATTATTAAAATTAACCTCATCTATTTCTTTTTACTTTTTAATACAGTTACTAAAATATTTAGAATTCCATACGTGGCTCACATGTGTGGCTCCTGTTACATTTCTCTTGGACAGCACTTCAGAGTTTCACTTGGTTGGAGTGGTCCTCCAGACAGCAAACCTGCCTTACAATTCCTTCTCCACACCCGACTCCTGGGGGGAGAGGCCGTGTCTCCAGAGTCCCTGGATCCCTGGTGCCCAGCACCGGGCCTGTCAGAGTGGTCTATGGAGAAAGTGGGCTGACAGACTTAGTGGAGAACGGGGGTTCCTCATGGCACAATAAGAGCACAGGCTTCCTGGATCCTGCGCTGTTTGGAGTGCTGGCGAACCCACACTCGGTGACCCTTCTTTAGCTGGAGGCCGTCGAGGGTTGGGATGCCACCCGGTGAGACGAGCATGGCTGCCCACAGGTGCATAGGCTGCGGTCCTCGTCCAACCCCTCAACTCTCACACACACCCTCTGCTTACCCCATCACCTTCAGCTTCCCTTGTTCTTGGCCCCTCTGCTTCTGGGTGGCCTCTTTCTCGAGCTCCAGAGCCCTCACCACTAGTCACCTCTGACCTGGCCGGTGGGGGTGGCAGTGGGGCTGGGTGTTTAGGAGATGACCTCTGGGGTCAGACAGTCTCAGACTGAACCCAAGCCATCCATTTACTCTGCAGCCTGCAATTTAACCATCCAAGCCTGACTTTCATCATCTGTAAATGCAGGTAATGGCACTACCCACCCGAGGGGACTGTTAGAAAGTATTCAATGAGATGACGTTTGCCAAGATCTTTGGCCAGTAGATGCCAGCAACTATCACCATTAGCAGCTTTCCCACCCTCCAGCTTCTTCCCCTCCCAACCATCTTCCATCTTATTCCAGAGTGGGCTTAAAAAACAACAACAAACATGCCTAATTATGTTCTTTGCCAGCCTAAATCATCCCAGTGGAAGGCTGGCATCTCCTGAGCTATCTTCTGAGAAACACCATCCTGGGAGACGCATTGTATGAAAGAAGAAAAGGGGGTCCCCCTGGCAGATATGAGAAGTGTTGAGTCTTGCTCTGTCTGGAGATTCATGATGCTGGTTAGCACAGCAGAGCCTGTCAACCTTTGTGATAAAACCCCTACCCTCAACAGGCAAAACACTATTCTTTTCTTCCCCGCATAGAAGTCCCGTTTCCCATATTTATTTGAACAGACTCACATCCCCCATAACACCTGTTAAATATCCCCTGGAAAATGCTGACTGAAGTGTTCAAAGCCCTCCAGAGTCTGGGCCCCACACATAAGCCTCTGCAAACGCCTCTCTCCCCCCAACCCTGCCCCACTCACCCCCTTGCTCTCCCTGAAAGCTGCTCCCGAAACATCTTCCATTTCCTTCTGTCTCACTCTTGGTGTCTCCTATTCATCCTTTGCTCTCTGTCTCGAGCACCACCTTCCCCAGGGGGCCCTCCCTGCCCTTCCCTCAGCAGTGAGGGTCAGATGCTCTGCCTGCCATGTATTCTTGGTACAGAGGTTGTAATTATCAGCTCACTCGTCTCATTTCTCTGCTTATCCTGGAGTCTAGTGTGGTACTGGATAAATAGGTGCTCAGCAAGATTTCTGACTGAAGCTTCCTGGCACATGTAGAAGAAACACAATGAATATCAGTTCTCCAGATTCTGTAATTATTTTGCTTTGATTGTCATCAGGAAGTATCAGCTCTTTTGCGACCGAATTTACAAACGGTGGGAGGAGAGCAGCCTCTTGACCACACCTAACCTAGAAACCAGGAGAGTAAACCAGGGGAATTACAGACACCAAGAGAGGGTAACGCGGAACACGGGTTCTGAGTGGGACACTGGGTGGATCACAGCAGCTCCTCCAGGGCAAGGCGCTGCTAAGAAGCTTCTGCTTCTTGGAGGGGAGGGGGTGAGAGGGCTGTTGAGCTGCAGTGGTTGCAGTGCCCCAAATATGCTGGGGGGCATGACAGCCGGGGGACACAGGCTGAGGAGAGCTGAGTCCTCTGGGGACAATTAGAATAGGCCATAGTGTGGAGTGCTGCTGACTTAGGTGGGAGGAGAGGGTGCAGAGGGAAGATAGGAAAAAAATCAACTCAACACGCTGTTTTCTAGAACATGGCTCCAATGCTCAGGAAGCTGAGTCAGGGAGTGATTGAATGTGGTGCTACAATGGATTGACCCGAGAGGACTGTACTGCCGGCCAGACTCAGTGAAAGTCATTTCAGTAAACTGGAACCCCCGCCCCACCCCCGCCCATGCTCTTTAAGTCCCAGGTTCAGGCAGCCTTGTCTTCTGCTTCCACGGCTCCAGTGCCAGGAGCTCATCCTTCCATGGATAGGGACAGACTGGAGGGAGGGACAGCAGCCTGCTGTCAGGCCTCTTGACTGTAAGTCCAGGGCCCCTCCCACAACTGGAGGAAGAAGAGACAAAACCAGAAGAGCCTTGGAGCAGAGAATCGAGAGGTCTAGGCACTTTTGCAGAGAAATCGCGTCACGTGTGATCCTCAATTCCCTGGCTACACGGATGGCTGGTTCTTAAGTGAGCTGAAAAAGGCTGGGCTTTTGGCAATCTTTGGCTAAGAAGAGTTCTGTTCAGCAGTTGATCTGGCACTCCAGTGGGGGCGCAGGAGGTTTCAGTGGCCAACACAAGCACCCACCTTTCTGAAAGTCACATGGAGTCCAGATGAAGATTCCCCCGGAGTGGAAAGATCCCTCCCATGAACAGTGATGGAACAACTGCCTGGGGCCAGGGCCTGGGGATTCAGGAGAACAGGACAGAGTCTGTCCTTCAGGGCTGTATGATCCAATGGAATTTGACCTACTTCTCAGAAAAACACCTTTCTTAGAGTACAAAAAGCACTGTTAAAACCCCAAGAAACAGACTTTGGAAAGACTCATGTTCATGATTTGGCTCTGTCATTTTCTAGTTGAGTTCAATACTGGCTCTGACATTTGGCACATTATTCAGTCTTAAGCCTCAGTTAAGTCTTCTGTAAAATGGAAATAACTCCAGAGTCACCAGCACTAGCATGAGGATGCTACAGGAGGGCATCCTGGCTGTGGAAGGCTCTGGTCTGGCAAACTGCTGATGAAATGAGAACATCCGATCCTCTATCCCTCCCTTAAACCCACAAGACTTCCCAAAAGAGTCTTGTGAATGCAAGGATCTTGGTTTTCCAAGGAAGCCTGCTTTGAGCAGGGGACTGTTGAAAGGGACTGGGTTTTACTAATCTCTTCTATTTACATGATGTATTTTCCTTTCAAAGCATTTCTACTTCTCTTCTTTCCTTTGGGCCTCACATTCCCCGATGAGGCAAGTTGGAGGAGGGTTATTTCCCTGCAGAAGAGGCGGCCCAGAGAGGTTATGTGACTAACGTGAGGTCACAGAGATAGTGGCAGGAACTAAAACAAGCAGGTTTTCTTAGTCCATTGTGCTATCCTTGTCAACTGGAACTTCCAAAGTCATCTGGAATCCTTTCTGATTCGGTTTTTCTACTCTGTATCCTTTCTGAAGTTGGACTCTGCTGTTAAGAGATCTGTGCCTTAGAAAACAGGCTGGTGAGAGAATGACTGACATCCTCGCCTTCCTTCCTTATTTTAGCATCTCTTTCCAGTCCTTTCCAAAGAAGATTCTTGTCTCGATTCATTTAACAAACAATGGAGGGTATTTTGTACAGGCAAAGGGCACAATCCTGAATAAGACCCAGCCCTGCCCTCAGAGGGTTCCCACTCTGATGGAGGGGTTATAACACAGAGGAGAAAGGGGTGCTGAGGTGTGTGGAAGTACCAAGGAGGGGTTCTTCTATC